ATGTCCTGTCCCCTGCTGCCTGGCAGGAGTGCGCTAGGCCCCAAGTGAGCGAGGCTCAGTAGGGTGGCCTTCACTCATGGATGCCAGCGCCCTGAGTGCACATTCTTCCTCTGCAGTTGCTCCAACCCTCCTGCCGTTACACTGAGAGGACAGACCTCCTCACATCCTCTGGGTTCCCAACCTTGAATGCTGACTGAAGGCACCTCAGCGAGGGCTGCCCCACGCCTACCAGGTGTGTCTGTCTGCACCTGCTCCCACCTCAGCACCTGCATTAGCCCCATGGAAGTGATCTTGTCGCTGCACTGGCCTCCATGGGAACAGGGCATCACCACTCCGCCCTCTCACTGACATCTCACAGCCGCCTTCCCTGAGCACCCAGACACGCTCCAAAGGGGGTGAGTTTGCCAGAGGGGACGTGTGCACGTTGTGTCAGGGATGTAGGCACGCTGGGGTTGACGGAAGTGTGGCGGAGGGGCGGGGGGGAACATGTGCGCGCCGTGGTCTGGGACTGTTGCAGGCATGCGTGGGTGACAGCGTTCTGAGGGACGTTCGCATACAAGGTGAGGGGATAGGATGCACGCACCAGAGACCTGTGCAGATCTGTAAACCCGTGCGGCGCACCCAGGAGGACGTCAATCTGCCCTGCCACCATGGCTGTCCCTGTGATCGCATACCTTCTGGGCCAGGAGGCAGGACTGGCGCAGCCCCTCCTTGGAACTGATGGCCCGCAGGGGCTGCTTCAGCTTGGCCCGCAGGCCCCTGCTTGGGGCTGCTCACAGCTGCTGCCCGCCATGTTGGGAGTACAGCCCACCCCTCCTGCTGGGCTGTGCCTCCGCGTCCCCACTGGGCCCAGGCTTTGTGCGGGAGGGGCCCTCTCCGCGCGCCTGCGACCGGCAGCCAGGGCCGCCACGCCCCCCCCCATCCCCAATGCTGCAAGTCCCCGTCCACCCGTGCCTGCTGCTCAGGCAGCCTGCTGATCGGTCCTTACTGTGACAGCATCCTGACCAATTTGTATATTACCCTATTATTAGTATAGACGAGTCTTCTCCCAGACAGGTAGCATCCTGCTATATATTGAAAAACCCATGTTCACAAATATTTTTTAAGTAATAGAAGTAGGAAAAATTTCCTCTATTATATTTCACTACTTTGCAAAAAAAACCCATAATTTAATATTGTAAAAATTATTTTTATAAACATTTGTATAATTCATAAGGAATACACTCTAAAAATATTCCTCAAATTAACCATTTGTTGCTCCATTATACCAATCATTATCCTTACAAGCCATTCCACCATCAAGGTGCTTAATAATTAACAATAATGATAAAGTTCAAATATTAAAGAGGCTATTATAATAGGTTAAATGTGTTATTGTCATAGGCTATATTTTTCAAAATACTTGACAGTTAAAATTGGTCAGATGCAATTGAGCAATCGATCATAGATTCTCCATCTCAGCAGTAGATCCTGGAAGTGGAGGCTTCCTCTAGGCAAGCTTTGACAAAAGACACTTATGAAAGTGGTTTCTTAATTTCTCTTTGATTTCTTCAATACTGTTTAAAATATCAGCTAGGTTGCCTGTTCTCAATCAAGTTAAAATGCAATTTAAAATATCTGATAGGTGGGTTCTGGAATTTATCATGTAAACAAAGGAAAGAAAAAATATGGGTATATACTTATAGTAAACTAGAGGCCTGGTGCACAAAATTCATGCACTTGGGCAGGGGGGAATCCCTGAGCCCAGCCTGCGCCCTCTCGTAGTCTGGGACCCCTCGCTCCTTACCACCCGCCTGCTCGCTCCTTACTGCTCGGCTCACTGTTCCTTAGCACTGCTGCAGAGAAGGGAGAGGCTCCTGCCACCACCACCGTGCTCACCAGCTGTGAGCCCCGCTTCCCAGGGGATTGGGCCTAAGCTAACAATCAGACATACCTCTGGCAGCCCGGGAGCCCTTGGGGGATGTCCACTTGCCAGCAGGGAGCAGGCCTAAGCTTCAGTCTGACATCCTTAGCACTGCTGAGGAGGCGGGAGAGGCTCTCACCACCACCGCTGTACTGGCAGTCATCAGCCTGGCTTGTGGCTGAGCAGAGCTCCCCCTTGGGGAGCACACTGACCACCAGGGGGCAGCTCCTGCATTGAGTGTCTGCCCCCTGGTGGTCAGTGCATATCATAGCGACTGGTTGTTCCGGTCTTTCTGCTGTAATGGTTGCTTAAGCTTTTATTATATAGATAACTTCCTTAAATCTAAATACATGCAATAGGTCATATGCTGAGATTCATTATTCTCTAAACTCAGTAGGGATGTAATTAAATGCTAAGAAATGGAAAGCACTTTACAGTTTTATAACACTGAACTGTTTTTACTATCATAATAAGTGAGGCACATGCCTATTTAGTTTATTAACTAAATGTGTGCCATAGTTTATTAACTCACCAAATACATCTAACTTCCCTTCAAAACAAGACATCAGCAACAAATGAAGTGCCGTTAATTTCTATGAAAAACTTTTAAAGAAATTGTTTCAAGAACAAGCAGCCTGGATCCCACTGAGGCCCTTAGGGGTTTCAGGTACTCTGGAAGGCACACATGTAGTTTATTTTATTTTATTTTTTGAGCTTTGTTTTTAAAATATCTTTATTGTTGAAAGTATTCCATATGTCTCCCTTTTCCCCCCATTAACCTCTTCCAACCCACCCCCACGCCCCCATGGTACACATGTAGTTTTAGAACCATGTATTTAAGGATAATATTACTCTTAATCCTTCAAACGAGTAGCTTGTCTCACAACCATCCCTTATACAAGATACGTGGCTCCATATACAACAGTCCTGATTTCCAATGTTTTGTCCTATATATCCAGTGTTTGGTTTAGTGATTGTGGCCATTATAGTTACATTTTAAAACATGATCTAACATATCCTAAGGATAACTGACAACTGAACAGCCTTGAATCAGCACTGGTACTAGAGTAATATCTTCTAGGTCTGACCCCAGATGCTTCCACAGGCATGGCATTTCTTTGTCTTTGATCTTCACCTCCTTTCATTGTTTCCACCTTCCTCCCATCACCTGCTGGGGAATTCAAACCTTTTGGGGACTTCTTACTTGTTTCAATGTTTATATTCACCAGACCCATAATTATAGTTTATGTCTATAGTACCAATGATAATTTCAAAGCCATTTACAAATAAAATATTTTGATACTCAAAATAACTGAGGAAACTGAGGCCTAAGGAGGCACATGCATCACCTGAAGTTGTGTCAAGAGGATCTGCCTCATGACTGAATCCGAGTCTCACTTTACCCCATTACTGTCTCATCATTTCTTGGTCTTTGGGTTAGACTTACATTGGAAATTCTTTCCCACCAGTTGTGTGATTTTTAAATATGTTGGTTAGACTATTTGAATTTTAGCTTTTTGGTTGGTAAATGGGGGTAACAATCCCTATTGCATAGGGTATTTTGAAGATTAAATGAAATAATGTTCGCAAAGTAAAAACGAACACCCCAACAAACCTAGAATGAGATAAGCATTCAAAAATGTTAGTTCTTCCCATCCCTTCTCATGGAAATATTTTACCTGAAGGTAGTTTCTTTAGGTCCACAGAGGATTTCTAAAGCTCCTCTGTAATTAAGCAGTGGGCCAGAAGGGCAGAGTATACTTAATGTATCAGCAGGGTGACAAAATTTAATTTAACCAAGGATTTATCAATCATCTACTACATCCCGGCACAGTGCTAAGTGCTACAGATGCACTAATGAAGTAGCAGCGGCCAAGGAATTTTGGCAGCGACAAGAACAAGACTTGATGATTTCCTAGAAAATGAAGAGATTCCAAGAAGGCTAGTCTGCCAAGTTTAACAGAGCTCTTGGTAAATTCTCCAAAATAATTTAAAATAGAATAAAATGATTTAAAAATTTATAAATTTTGGAGTTTACTCTTTGATGGCAAGTGAATACATTTTATTCACTTGCTAGTAATATTCACCACCTCTCAGGGCCACAGGGCTCCTGTTTGTAGAACAGTGATAACGGTATTTTATAGCATTATGAGAAAACTAAGATGGAATATTACTGTGTATACAGTAGTAACTAGGTAATGATTTTTTGAGTGTTTTATATGTATTAGATATTCTAAGCCTTTTAAAATTTGTTAGCTCATTTAAACTTTACAACAACTCAAGGAGATGGATGGAATTACTACTCCTATTTTAGAGATGTAGACATTAAAGCACAGAAAGTTGTTGTTGTTGTTTTTTTTCAAAAAACCTTGACCAGAGCACCCAGCTAGTAATTGGCTGAGCAGGAACTCAGACTTAGGCAGTGTGGCTTCAGACCCTGTGTCCTTTACCCCTACCCCTGCCCTCTGCTGCCTCACTTCATCATCACAGCTCATGACATGCCCTTTTCTGCTGCTGGAATCCAGCATACAAAAATGTGGCAGATCCTGCCTTTCCAGAAATAAACAGTGGCACTGAGGACACAGGACATGGGCATAACGAGAAAAAAAGAAGTATGTGGATCACGTTGTCAAATGCCAGAGAAAGGGTGTAACTACACATTCTATAGAAGTTTGGACCAAAGCAAATATTGGGGATGGAGAAAGCAGCAAGAATTTGTAGTGGAGGTAGAACTTGACTTAGGTCTTGGAGGGAAACCAGAACTAAAACCAGCCCAGAGGAACTGGGAGTTATTTCGGATGGTCAGAGCGTGGGGAGAGCAAGGACACAGACTCAGGGTTCAGTGTCCGTGGGAGGAAGGCTTCTACATGGGAACACCGAGGCTAGAGATGATTTCAAAGCCCAAGAGAATTTGTAGGATGATTTCAAAGCCCAAGAGAAAAAAGAGGACTTCCTGCTGCAGGGCCGCCGGGGTGTCTGAGTGGCCTTGTGCACATACTCACATACACCAGGCCGCCACATAGGCTTTCAAAAGGCTGATGGGGCGGGGGGGGGGGTGTTACACGCAGAAGCACACAGAAGTCTTCAATGCACATACCTACATTCAGACACTTCCCGGTTGTTCCAGCGATGATTATCTGGTTGGTGGATATTCCATGGCCTCTCCTTCCCAACGCCTGTCTTTTGGGCTTGTTCCCTGCTTGTCAGCACCTGAGGGTAGAGGCAGAGACAACGTGAGTTTCCAATGAGTCGTTTCCCCTCCCCTTCTTCTTAGTAGCTGTGGTTAAAAATTTGCTTTGGGAAGGAGAGCTATATTGTGGATGGTCAGAACATTTCTTTTTTTAAATGGTACTTCCAGTCTCTTTAGTAAACAATTTGCTGATGAAGAGCAGAGCTCACATTTGAGCCTAACCCTGGATTATGTAATTGTTAATTCCCTTTCATCAGAGACATACTCCTACGTACTTTCAGATAATGTTCTTGTAGCAGGACCTTGGATCTGCTGATCTTTTTAGGCGAGAGTGGTTAAATGTACTCTCCTCAAAATTGCTAATATCGCGTGCCTCCAGACGGACCTTTTTATAGGATGATATTATCCATATCAATCATTCTTACCTTTGCTACTACTTGAATATATTAAACAATTGCTGCTGCTTCCTAAATTGAATAGATTATCAGAAGACCTGAGTAATTCTCTAGCTGCAAAGTACATATTTGGCTCTAAAATTAAAGTGTTGGATAGATAGATAGAAAAAGAAAGAGATGGGGAAAATAAAACAGATTGCAATGAAACAAATTTGCAATGCCAAACTTTTTTTTAAAAAGTAGGATTTCATTATTTAAGGCTATTATTAAGAATGTATATGGCATATATGATATTGAAAAGATTGTAGGAGCCCAGTTCCAATATATTGTTATCACTAGTATATATTTGAATATAGTAGATGTAAAAATTATTCTAGTCCAAAATGGCCAGAATACCTACCTTGAATACCCATATTTTAACTTGGGTCTCTTGTGTGCAAATATATTTAGGGTGCAAAGCAAACACACACACACACACACACACACACCCTCTTAAGAAGAGGAAAGACCTTAAAAACTTATATACTTGGTTAATAACCAGCTATCAAATCTGTTGTCCTCCTCTTTGGTTCATACTGCATTACATTATTTCCAGTTCTTCGACTTGAATCCTTGTCAGCTCTTCACCTCACAGTCCCACCATTGCCCAAATACTTCTAGAGAAATCAGACAATGAGTAGAAATAAGTGCCTCCATTTAATTCAGGACATGGCATACATCAGTAGTGCCCACCTGTAAACTGGCTCCATTGCTCATGAGAATGTCCGGGCATGTTCATAGGCCTGTTGACCGCAACATAAAATAAAGCAAAGCCTCAGCTACTCTGCTTCTGAATTTTTTTGATGAACTAGAATTATTTCTAAAGTTCTCAAATAAACAGAAATCATTATAATTATGAATAATTAAAACACTAAACTCAAGAGGGCACTCAGCATTTATTACACGGGAGAATTCATCCCCTAAGGGTAGTACCTTCAATTAGTTCAGTTTTACAACACAAGAAAAATGTGACAATCACTAATTACAGGTGTTTAGTACAAGGAGCAAAGCAAGCTACCTTGCCTTTAAATCACCCTTTTCCACCCAGAAAGGCACTGCTCACTTTTAGATTCTTAACATTTGTACTAATTCCAGACCACAGAAAAGCAATAGATAATAGGAAAACATTTATTTTTTAAATTTGCAAACATTGATTAAGCACCTGCCATGTGTCAGGGTTTATGTTAAATGAATAACATTCCAGTATAAGAACTAGCTAATGGTTATTTTTAAACATATAGAAACATATATACAAATTTGACTATATCAATATATTTGTATATTCTTACAAATATAAAGTTTGGAGTATATATCTATAATTTATAAAATGAAGCTATTCAGTTGTTTTCCTCATTATTCTTATTTTTTTTTAAAATATATTTTATTGATTTTTTACAGAGAGGAAGGGAGAGGGATAGAGAGTTAGAAACATCGATGAGAGAGAAACATCCATCAGCTGCCTCCTGCACACCTCCTACTGGGGATGTGCCCGCAACCAAGGTACATGCCCTTGACCGGAATTGAACCCGGGACCGTTCAGTCCACAGGCCGACGCTCTATCCACTGAGCCAAACCGGTTAGGGCCTCATTATTCTTTTTAAATTTTTTTCTTTTTCTTTTCTTTTTTTTCTTTATTGATTAAGGTATTACATATGTGTCCTTTCCCCCTATTACCCCCCCACCCCCAACCCCCACTCATTCCCTCTCACCCCCCTGGTGTCTGTGTCCATTGGTTAGGCTTATATGCATGCATACAAGTCCTTTGGTTGATTTCTCCTTCTTACCCCCACCCTCCCCTACCTTCCCTCTGAGGTTTACTGTCTGATCAATGCTTTTCTGTCTCTGGATCTGTTTCTGTTCATCAGTTTATGTTCTTCATTATATTCCACAAATGAGTGAGATCATGTGATATTTATCTTTCTCTGACTGACTTATATCGCTTAGCATAATGATCTCCAGTTCCATCCATGCTGTAGCAAATGGTAAGAATTCTTTCTTTTTTATCACAGCGTAGTATTCCATTGTGTAGATGTACCACAGTTTTTTCATCCACTCATCTGCTGATGGACACTTAGGCTGTTTCCAAATCTTAGCTATGGTGAATTGTGCCACTATGAACATAGGGGTGCATATATCCTTTCTGATTGGTGTTTCTAGTTTCTTGGGATATATTCCTAGAAGTGGGATCACTGGGTCAAATGGGAATTCCATTTTTAGTTTTTTGAGGAAACTCCATACTGTTCTCCACAGTGGCTGCACCAGTCTACATTCCCACCAGGAATGCATGAGGGTTCCTTTTTCTCTGCATCCTTGCCAGCACTTGTCATTTGTTGATTTGTTGATGATAGCCATTCTGACAGGTGTAAGATGGTATTAAGTTATAATAAATTATTTTAATTTAAAAATTAAATCACAAAATTATTTAGATTTTTCTTCCTCAGACACTCTTTTATAAAAAATATGTTTTTTTTATTAAAAAACAAAATATGTCCATTTTCTTTGTCAGTAATAAATGCTTTATAATCATTAGGATGATTCTAAGATGTTTATAGAACTAAGATGTAAGTCAAGTTGGACATGGTTTAGCAAATAGTAACTGTAGTTTTGTATCTAGGAGATTGTAGTAAAGCAGATTCTTTGCACTGATTCAATATCAGTTTGACAACCCTGACCTTTTACTAAGTATGACTTCAGTGAGATACCTTTTGTCTTTCATTTATAGGGGAAAGAACTCATTAGAAAGGCAATGCAAGGAATTTCAGAATAATAAATCTCAAGTTAACAATTCTACTTTTAATGATTAGATGCCTGAATCTTGTATTTAATTATAATGGTTACTTTAAATGATTATATTTAATTTAAACATAATTAGCTAAACCTTGATGTTACTGCCTCATCTATTTTGAAATTAATTATAAAATAGCTCAAAAAGTGCTGTGACATTTTAATATTAAAATGGATCAGAATCAGTTTGCATCTTTTGTTGGTTTCAGTTGTGAACTTATATTGAGCCATTTATATGTGGTACGACTGTGGGTCTCTGGCATGGCGATCATATAGTAGAATAAAATATATGTAATTGATGTTTCCTCTATACATATGAGAGATCCTTTAACCTACCAGGCAATAATAGTCTATAATCAAAGATATGACTGGTTAAACTTTAAAGGAATAGAAATTTTATAAGTAAATTTTGCCCTTAATACATTCAGGAGGAACCACTGTTTTTATCAGGTGATTCCTATGTGTGTAGCAAGCCTCTGCCCCTCACTTTCTTTGAATCAGTCTAATGATATAATCAGAAAGTGTTTCCAGGAAACGTTCTGAATTTAACTTCTCTTTAGACAAACAACATGGTTTATATATACAGGAACCAAGAGAGAAGGGCTAGTGATGTACAATTGTTTTTCCTGGTCTACAGAATATGAGAATATTGAAAAACACTCACCATAGCCATTCAGAGTCAGTTCCTGGTACTGTGAGAAGTGACATCCATGAATGTTCTCAATCCTTGATATGCAAAACTGCTATACTGTGCACATTTGTTTATTAAGGATATTGCTACTGTTTATTAGGTACTGAGTACGTATTAGACACTGAACCAAATGCTGAATGAGGTGATATTATTAGGCCCACTTTACAGATGAACAAAATGAGGCTTGGGCATGCTGAGGTACTTGCCCAGGGTCATATTATTAGTAAGTGATGGAGGCAGGATGTGAAGCCTCACTCCACAGATCTGCACCTCACTGTCCCCAGCTCTCCTTCTCAGAGATCTAAGGCATTCTCATTGCCTACAACCACCACCAATACCACAAAAAAATGTCTCCCTTGCAAAAACAGTGTGAGCTAATTAAAAGGTGGCTTAACTATCAATACCAAAAATCTGTTGTCCCCAGTACTAATAACCTCTGATGCCAATATGTGCAGAATTTTCAAATATTTTATTAAAACCTGGGCCTTTTACTCTACAATGAGCCCTTTTAGTTGGGAGAATCTGTTGCCCCCATTCCCTGACATGAGCTCAAACCTTCTGTACCCCAGCCCGCCCTGTAGGAATTTGAATTCTGAGCAGGTTATCAAGTCAGACTCAGCTAACACATCCAGTGAAGTTGTGTAGAATATTTCTCTTGCATTCACACAAGTGCTGTTATGTGGCCGACCAGGATGCCTGCGAGCTATCCGGTATCTCAATTACCTCCTCTGCCATCTGTTTCTGTTTCTCTCAGTCCTGCTCCCTGGTTCACTAAACAATGAATGATAGATACTCACACCCAAGAGCTACCTAGACTCAGGCACATTCTCTGCAAAGAATGTAGGTAACAAATAGATATGCCTCCCATTTAGATATAAGATTGCGATCAAAGCCACAGTTATCCATTGATTTTAATTTTAATGTTTCAAGTATCCGTCATTATCTTAACTTCGGACATCCTCACAAGGTCCGAAGGACTGGGACCATCAGAGTAATCACAATGGCGAGGAACCAGAGTGGGGAGACAGACAGCCTCATCTGCTCTGTGCATCTTGCGAAGGCCTTTAAACACCATCTGTTTTCTGCTCTTTTCTGGCTACCGTTTTCCCTA